GGGCAGGGGTGCATTAGCTCAGGTGGGTGTGTGGGTGGCAAGGACCCAAAGTATGTGCTGCTGCTGGGCATCGCCCAGGGAACTGGAAAACTCAGTTCTTCTTGAAAACTGGAGCCCAGTGGGTGCTGGAGTGGTGCGGCGTGACCCGAGCAGCCCTTGTGGCACAGAGGCTGAAGCGAGGAAGGGCGTGTGGTGCAGGGTGCCTGGTGGCAGCGGGGACCCCATAGCTGCCCTCTGGGTTGGGCTCTCTGTTGAGGGGTGAAGGTCAGGCTTCCACCTCCATCGAGGTAAAGGAGAGGAAACAGGTGCGTCTGGCGTTCACAGTGCACCTGAAGGTAGCTTTGCGTGTGGACTAAGTTCCTTTTATGTGGTGTTTCAGTGAAGAAGTTAATTGCAAGTATCTCCCCCTCCCCTTCTGCTTTCCTCAAACAGGTTACCTGAAACCTCGGGCCGAAGAGGAAAGGCGGATAGCAGCTGAGGAGAAGAAGAAGCAGGATGAGCTGAAACGGATCCAGAGAGAATTGGCAGAAGGTACCCCTGTTACTGACTCTTATGGATTTGTTCTCCATCTAGATCTTCAGAAACAGCTGCTGCCCTGAGCGAGCCCCATAGTGGATGGAGGGGCGGCCTCCCTTCATCCAGGACTGGTCCCATGGGGCCTCGGGGGGGAGGGGAGCAGAATCATGGATGATGGGGGGACACGGTGACACCTTGCCTCTGGTGAGGCCCAGGCACACTTTCCCCCCTGACTGCCATGGCAAGTTCCAGTCACAGGAGCAGGGACAAGGACGACCATGGATGAGGGTTGAAGGAGAGCACGGTCAGGCTCCCCTGGAATTAGACACTGGGTCCTTGTGGATCGCCTGAGCATGGAATGACGAGTGTTTCCTCTAACCTTTCAGCCCAAGACGATAGCATCCTCAAGTGAGCCCTTCTCTCTCCCGGAGCAGTGTGGACGAATAAAGCTTTCTGCATGGTGATGCTCTGGCTCTCTTTACTGTCTTACTTGTCTGATTTCTGGACTCAAGCTCAGTGTTGTACTCTGTCCTCCTTGGTTTATGTCGGGTAGGGATGGGGAGGGGGTTTCAGAAGAACCAGTCACCCGTCACAGAGCCAGGATGCAGTGCACAAACAGGGCAGGAAGCACAGAAACTGTGTCACCTGTTCTCTGGGGTGTCCAGGTGAGGATCCCCAAAGAGTGCAGTTTGTAATGGAGATACAGCTGGCCTGGGCGACACGGGTGCTGCTTGGTCTTCTCTCCTCTGAGCCCTGACCCAGACCCCTGGATGAACAGGGCAGGGAGTGGGCAGTGCAAATGTTGGTGGCTGGGGGTGGCCTGGTGCCCTTACAGTTGGGACCTGGATCGCCATCCCCTTCACGAATCCTCCCCTTGACCCCATGGAGGGGACGTGGCCTCCTGAGGACCAGGCTGGAGTCTGCATAAGCTGTTCAGGGGTTTGGGTCTGAGGTGCCTGAGCAGACAGCCTGTTCCGCTCCTCCTGGCTGTGCTCTTTTAACCCCTGACGCCTGGTGTTGGAATATTGCTCTTTCCCGGCTTATGCCTTGAGCAGATTTCCTGGGCTTTGAGCCCCAGTTCATTGGTAAAATAAGTTCATTTGCAAATAAGAAGAGCAGAAGCAGCATAGGAGCACTTCAGAGTCCTGTTTGTGGTTCAGGTGAGGTTTGGGTGAGCCTCAGGTGAGGGTGGGCTCCTCCTGAGGGGGTGGGATCCAGTTGAGAGCAGATGGCTGGTGCTGAGACCCTCTGGGAACGTGGACGAGCCCCTGCCTCCATCACAGGCCCCTGTCACTGACTGCTGAGATGGAAAAACTGCCCCTCCTTCCTGTGAGCAATGGCTGTGGGGCGTGTTCCTCCCCCCCCCCCCCGGGAGCTCTAGGAGAGGGCCTAGGTGGCAGCCCAATTGGCCTTACAGCCAGCGGCCTAAACCTGCAGCTGGGAGGGGTCTCTCAGAGTCAGGAACAAATGCTCTGGAGCGCACACTACCTGTTAACAAAGTCCTTAATTTCTGCCAGATGATTAGTACCCAGTTTGGGTCTGACTGTGCCTATCTTCCTGGCTCACAGACAGTAAGGCATTGGAGGTGTGTGGTTGCTGTCGGATGGGAACGCTCGGTTGTGAACTTGGGCAGAAGACGGGTGTTTGCATAAGGCCCACCCAGTCTGGGTCTGTGTGTCTGGTTCAGAGCAGCTCCACTCAGACCGTCTACTGCAGATTACTGCTGCACTGATCACTCAAGTCTGATTGCTGCTCTACTCATGGCCTTGATCTTTCTGGCAGGGTTTTCCAATGGGTCATATACCATGTACCCTCCACTGTAGTTTATGCCACGTAAAAAAAGGGCAACTTGTTTTCTTGTTATTTTATTCTAAACTTCTGGTCATAAGTTTTTTCCTAAACCGGAGGGAAAGCAGCATCTATGTATTCCTCTCTCTACTCATATACACATAAACACATGTGCAGTTGTGAAGATTCCACCCAGTGCTTTCAGACACAGTTCACAGACCCTTTTCAGAGTTCTCGGTGGTGTTACTATGTATCCAAAAGATGGATGAGCGTAAGGTAGGCTACACTGTGCAAGTTATTCAAAGTTGGCTTTAGTTTATAAAAACACAAACTTTAAAAAAATTCAAAACATCCAAAATTGTCTTCAGTCATTTTCTTGGGCTTCTTAACCTCTCGTACCACATGGTTAGAGGCACAGTCCCAGCGGGTGTAGGGGCCAGGGAGCCGTGGGACCCCACTGACTGGCTCACAGGATGCAGCAGGTAGAAGACTTGGGTGCTGGGCCACCATTGCACATTTCTGTGCCCGCTGCATGAGAAGACACGAGGGTGAGTGAGAACCGTGTGGACAGTGGCCTGGCTCCCCCATTTCTGCTGTGTCCTCTACCAGCCCCGAGGAGGAAGGGCAGAGCGTGGGTCTGTGGTCAGCTTAAGCTGATTAGCTGTGGCTCAGCCTTTCTTATCTTAGCCTGGTGACGCTTTCAGTGCTGGCCTCCCACAATCTGAAACCGTCTTGTTTACCTTGGTTGCCTCCCCATAGTGGGGACCTGGAGGGAACAGCAACAAAAGTCCCTGAGCTGAGGTGGCCGAGCACAGGGAATACCAAGGCAAAGGAAACAAAAGCTCTGACACAGCACAGGGAAAGGGCATGCACACCTGACTCTTCCCTCTTAGCTCACTTCTTGTCTTTTTTAGGTCTGCTGTTTTGTTTCTGAGGGTGGCATGGAAGTATAGGTAGATTTTCTGAGTTGCTTAGGAGGGAACTGCTGCTTGATGGTGGACCAGAAGAGCTGCTAAGAGGTCATGATATTTCAACTGGGCTTTCCTCCCCTTTATAAAAGAAGTAACACTAGATTTGTTACTTCCTTAGAGAAAACGAGAGTGCCCGGCTAGGAGCAAGAGGAAATCCTTGTAGTCGAGCATGCGAGCTACATTGAATTAGCAGGGCCGGCTCTACGGGATGGGCCTCCCCACCTGCCTCCTCAGGGAGGAATCTGAGGGCGCCAACCACAGGCCCGTGGGAAACCTGCCTCTTCTCCAAATTTAACTCGGTTGCTTGATTCTGTCTCTTCCCACACTTTGACTTGGGGATTAGCTACGTGCCAGCCCCCCGCCCCCTGCAGGCCGTGGCAGGAGCGGAACCCAGACCTTTCTTGGCCCCTGTTCTCTCCTCCTGCTTCTCCTCCAGGGCCTTCACTTTCGCCTCATACTCGTCAGCTAGGGCCTTCCATTCCTTCCTGTTGTTCTGCAGTCGGTTGAACATGGGCAGGATCTCCTCGTGGAAACGGGAAAACTCCTGGAAAGGGAATCAAGTCAGACCACACCTCCCACAGCTCCTGGGCGGGCTGGGATGGGGGCTTCCCCAGGGGGAGAACCGTGAGGGGGCCCGCCTGGCGGGAGGAGGGAGGACCACTGAGATGTCACTTTCCCAGCAAAGCCTTGAAGAGGGAGGGGGCTCAGAGTCTGTGTTCTTGACGTTAGAATGGGGAGCTGTGGGTGTGAAGGCTCGTGACACAGACGGTCTTAGTGGAACAGAGTGCAAAGTAACTGCAGAAGACGAGTCCCTGGCAGACGGATGGGCAGGCTCGGTGGACACGCAGGTCCTGTGGCTCCTTCTCCTGTCTCTCACACACAGCAGACTTCACGGTGCGCATGCTCACACGCTCCCACATGCACACGCACGCACGTGCTCACACATGCATGCATGCACGTGCTCACATGTGAACACACTCTCACACATGCACATGCTCACGCACACACCCACACATGCTCACACGCATGCTCACACGTGCACACGCTCACATGGACACATGCACACACACGTGCATGCACACATGCTCACATGCGCACACGCACACACACACCAGCTGTGGATCGTGTGGATGCAGCTGGGGAAGGCAGTGGGAGGGGAGCCCCACGGTGGGTTAGGGTTACGGTTAGGGTTAGGGGCTGTGCTCCTCCCCAGCACCTGCAGCCCTGTGGTGGAAGCAGGAAAGGGAGCCGGTGTTTCAGTAAAGGGAAGTGCGAGTGGCCTCAGGGGCCGAGGGGGGGAGTGGACGGGCCCAGTCAGCGATGACTTCACTCAGAACCAGTCCACCTCCTCCTTGGAGTGTGGGGTTGGCCCCTGCAGCCCCCGCTGCCCCTGCCACCAGAGTGAGTGGAGCCCGTGGATGTGTTGGGTAGCACTGGGAGGGGCTCTGCAGTCAGACCCCCTCACTTGCTGGCCAGTCCCCTGAGCTGTGACATCACAGCCCCTGCCCCGTGTCCTCATCATGGTGTCCCATGGTCACTCGTCAGTTGTGCAACATGCATGTGCTGGATGGGGCACACCCAGCTGTGACAGGTGGGCCCATCCCCATCTTCCCAGAGTGCATAGACACCGAGCAAGTGCACCTGCAGATAAATCGAAGTCAGTGCCCCAAAAAACAATGTGCAGGCCATGGGGGGTGCGCCCTAGATGGGGTTTGGGGAGGGGACATTTGAGGTGAGACCTCAAGGTGGGGGGAGGATGTTCCCAGAGGGAGAGAGCCTGGTGGGAAAGCACCTCGACCGGGCGAGGGCGGGGGTGGGAGAGGACTCCCTTGGGGTGACACTGAGGTTTCCAGATTTTAAGTGCAGATGTGAGGAGAATGGGGGCCAGGGCGGCACTGGGCAATCAGGTGGCCCCACACCAGCGCCCTCCTCCTCCGAACCCTGTTCACCTTGTACACGAACGTGCACACGAAGTCGATGAAGCCAACCTGCAGTTTGGGGAGTTCGGCTGCCTTGTTCCGGTCCATCATCGGCTTATGGGGAGAGCAGAGACACAGTGAGGTGCTGGTGGCCGGTGTGCCCGACAACTCCTCTGAGCCCCCACGACCCTTGGGTCCCGCCCCAGCTAGGTGAGCATGTCCATGGACACAGACTGAGCAGCGGCTACTGGATGACGGTACAGCCCCTGGCTCTGGGACCAGTCTGCCTTGATAGACACTGGCCCTTGGAAGGGGAAATCCAGGACGCCCTGTGCCCCTCTGAGCCATCGGGCTTTGTTCCGGGGCAGCCCAGTCAGCGTCCATGGTGCTGGCTCGTCGCATGTCCTCTGGGCTCCCAGGGAGCTGCGCTAGGGATCCTTGGGCTCAGGCCAGGTCAGCCCTGGCTGGAGCTCTGCCAGCCCCTTCCTCCAGCCAACCCCTCCGGGACCTATCCATGGTGCTGACCCTAGACCCGGTGCATGCTCCTGTGGGGCAAACCCCAGATGTGCTTGGAGGAGCTGTCCTCGGTGTCCACAGACTTCAGACCCCCAGCTACCTCCTGTCAGTCTCTCCTTCACAGTGAGCCACCCTCCCGGCACTGGTGTGGTGAGGGTGAGCCATGCAGGACCCTAGAGGCCTGGCCCAGAGGGGACAAATGAGCTGCCTGCCCTTCCCCCCAAAGAGTTTGCTGGTTGGTCAGGGATCATTTCCTGCTTCTGGATCTGGCCCCAAAGCCTTCTCCACCCTGCATTCAGAGAGTTATACATTGACTGGTGTTGACTGTGACACAAACTCTCTCTCCACCTCTTCCACATGTTGTTGGACAGCGCTATGCTGTCCTTGTCCCCTTGGGATCCTGACCCCACACTGCTGACCTGAAGACCCCAGCACTGTCCATCTGCCACCCTGTGGGCCCCTGGACTCTAGTCACTGGCTTCCTCTGGCCCTTCACTCTCCCTGTGGGCCAGGCCTGCTCCGCCTGGGGCTTCCTGGAGCAGCTTATGGCCCAGCCGGGGTTCACCATGCAGCCGCCTGGGCCATGGAGGCTCTTGGTTATGAGCCACAGCCTGGTTCTGCCAGTTTAAACAACGACTTTCCACCTCTGCACGGGCATCGCAACTCTACCCAGATCCCGAACCACCTCAATTCACACTTGGCTCATTTCACGTGAAACCATAAAGTGAGATTGAGGCCCCAGGACCCCAGAACCCTCGAGGGTTCCCTGTCTGCACCAAGCCAGGCCTGAGGCTCCCAAGGACTATGGTGGGGGTAGAAGATTCTGGAAGCAATACTCACAATGGGCTGCTGATCCAGAACAGTCCTTTCCAAGTCACCTTGTTCCCAGAACTCAGCCGCCACCAGCAGAGCGACCTAGGGGGCACACAGAGGCAGTCATCCTGTGGAGTTCAGGGCTGGGTCAGAAACTGTCCTGAAGCCCACCAGGAGGCTCCATGCCCTTGGTCTTCTCCACACAGATCCCTGGGGCCCCCACTATCCCAGCTGGGCCTGATGCTCAGCAGCACCTTCCACGGTGGTGGCTGCTGACCCCACCCCAGAGCAGGGCGGCAGCCCTCAGCACCACTTGCAAACGAATGGGTCTGTCTCCCGTCTCAGGTTCCCCTAGATGCAGTTCCACGAGGCAGTGACAACAGGGCGGGGACCCGCGGGACTTCTGACCTTGCTCTGGACTTCCCAGGGCTTGGTGATGGCAGACAGGTCACATGCTGTCATCATCATGGCCCTGCAGGCAAACAGAACTCCAGGTACACCCAGACCGGCCTCCCTCCACCCCTGCACCCTCCTGCCCCTGAGAGGCCGGGAGACTGCGGTGGCACAGGTCCAAGGCCCCGTGTCCTCCCACCAGTGGACGGCCTTGCTGTGCACACCACTCCAGCCCCCACACTCCCACTCCCCTGCAGCCACAACCTAAAGTCAACAGTGTTTATTGGCGCCTTCTGAGTGCTGGGGACGTACACGTCTTCCCTCACTGGGTCTCTGGGACCCGCCTGTGGAGGACGCACTTCTAAGGCTCCACTTTGCAGATGAAGGAGTGGAGGCTCATAAAGTGAGTAAACTATTGCCAAAGTCCACAAACTAAGGAGATGGCCTGTCTGATCCTGAATCCTGCACTGTCCTCCCTGAAAATGAGGAGCAAGTAAGATGGAGCACTTGTGTTGAGGCATCAAAGTCTTAAGAGATGACCTGTTCTTATTCTGGAGCTTCCAGGACCCCGGGGTCTCCTAGTCGTGTTGGGGTAGGTTTGCAGGAGCAACCAGCCACCCAGGGGCAGAGACCCTCCTGCCACCCCCATTGCTCACATGACTATCTCCTTCCGTGTTGTCTCCAGGGACAGGTACTCCACCCAGCTCTTCCTGTCCTCGTAGTTCTTGGACTCGTCCACAATCTTCTGGAACATTGTCCTCTTCCTGAACCCCAGGAACAAGGGGGAGAGAGTTGACTCCACCCCCTCACTCCATGCAGGACCTGCCCCTATGCGTGCTCCTGGATCCTAGCCCCACACCCTTCTAGGAAAGGAATGATGCAGGGAGTCTATGCCTAGTGGGGCCGTGGGGAGGGCGTGGGTCGGCCCGGGCCCCCCCCCCCCCCCCCCCCCCCGCAGCGGGCTCCGGTCTGGCCTCCTGGGGTCTCCGCGGGTCTGCCCGGACCACCCCCCCAGCGGGCTCCCGTCCGGCCTCCTGGGGTCCCCCCCCGGGTCTGCCCGGACCCCTCCCCACAAAGCGGGCTTCTGTCCGGCCTCCCGGGGGTCCTCGCGGGACCCACTTGAAGTAGAGCGCCAGGTCTGTGGCGATGATGGCGATGTCCATGAGGTGGATCACGTGTTCGTGCTGCCGCCGGTTGAGGTTCTGGTAGATGTTTAGGGTCTGCGGGAGGGGCTCCTGTCGCGGGTGCGCCCCGGGCCGTCCCCACCCCTTCCCGGGGGTCGTCCGTCCGCTCCTCCGGGCCTCGCTGGCCGGCTTCTACCCACGGGTCACGAGCACGCGGCCCGGGACCCTTACACCGCGCCCGGCTCCCGCCCGCCCGCCTCGGACCGAGCCCACCCACCCCGCGTCCGAGCCCCGCCTGCTGCGCCCCCGGACGCCGCGCGGTGTGGACGCGGATGGGGGCGCCGGGGGCGCAGGCGAGGGTCCAGGAAACACCGCGAACCTCCTCTGAGAGCAGGAACTTCCCGAACTCCAGGTGGTGCCGCTCCAAAATCGAGGAGCCGTGGAGCTTGGCCAAGGGATTCTGGGATCTGTTACGGAGGTTTTATCAAAAACGAGCAGCGGTTAGAAGCCCGAGAGGCCCCTGGGCCCTCCCCGCCCCGCAGGGAAGGGGCCCGATGCCCGGCTGGCCGTGGGGTGAGCCCCGGGGGCCCTCCCGGGAGGGGAGGCGGCGGGCCCCAGGTGCCCTACTTCATCTGGTACAGGTTGTTGGTGCCGCGGTGGTCGATGTCGTGGCACAGGCCGGCTGTCACCATGGCGAGGGCCTCCAGGTCCGTGTAGTAGCTCTTCAGCTTGCCGGTCTGCGGAGACAGGTGCCCAGGTCATGCAGCCCCGCTGCCCGCTGCCTTCCCTGCTCCCGGGGCTGGGGGGGGGTGGAGGGAGTGGGGGGCGGGGAGCAGGGTGCGGTGGGGGAGCTGGGCCTGACCCTGCTGCTGCTCCCAGGCCAGGTGCCCTCGCTCATTTCCCTGGCCTGGGGGTGCCAGCCGGTCGGAGGGGCCTCCTCCACTGCTCAGCCCTTGAAGGGCCCTACTGCCCCTGCAGAGGGGCCCCCACCTCCAGGTGCCTGTGATACTGGCCTTGGGACCAGGAGGGTCTTCACAACCCTGGCCAGAGGAGGCACCTCTCATGCCTGGGCTCCTGGCGCTCTGCCCCCCACCCCTGGGGACCACCGGCTCCTGGGGCTCTGCCCTGGCCCCATCCACGCACCATGAGCAATGTGAACATCGTCTGGGCCACATTGAAGCCGTGGCGCCAGTTGTGGTAGGTGATTCTCCGGTACCCTTTGCTCACGGAGAACAGGAAGCGGACCAGGACCTGGCAGAGGCCGAGGGAAACGGGCTCTGGGCACAGAGCGTGTGTCCCCCAAAGCCTTCACAGGCTGCTGGCTCTCTGTGAAAGCCCTGCTCATCCCGTCACCCCACATCCCATCCCCTGGGCCCCCTCGACCCTCCCTGTCCTGGTGATTCACCACGGGCCCTGACCACCTTCCTGGGTGTGGGGGGGTGCCTCGTCCAGCACCTGCAAGGTGGACGAGGGGTGGCAAGCAGCCTGAGGGGGCCAGAGCTGAAGCTAAGAACTGCTCCAGCATTCATGGGGCTTCTGGGGCCTCCATCCTACTGCCCAGCCCAAAATTGGGAAGAGGACCCCAGGCGAGGGGTCTGGGATATTTTAGAATAAGAGGTCTGTGTGTTTTTTGTTTTTGCTGTTTTTTTTTTTTTTGGTGAGCAAGATTTGCCCTGAGCTAACGTCTGTTGTCAACCTTCCTCATTTTTTGCTTGAGGAAGATTAGCCTTGAGCTAACATCTGTGCCCATCTTCCTCTATTTTGTATGTGGGATGGCGCCACACATGGCTGACGAGTGGTGTAGGTCTGCCCCCCGGATCTGAACCTGTGAACTTGGGCCGCCAAAGCGGAGTGCACCGAACTTAACCACTGTGCCACGAGGCCGGCCTGGAAAAGATCTGTTTTAGGCATGGGTACTTGAATGGGGCAAGGTGTGTGGGCACCTGGCACGGGTGATGGAGAAATAAGATGGTGGCTGAAGGTCCGGAGGCCGAGGGGCAGGCAGGAGGGGTGAGCCTTTTTCTGTGGGGCAGTTATCTCTGGACGACAGAATGTGGGCCAAGGGGAGCCTCTTATTGTTGCCACTGTGATTTTTAGGGCCAGAAAATTATTTGGAAATATTTTTTATTCTGTTAATATTTTCTATATTTTTTACTTTTGTGTTTTTCATTAGTAGTTAGTAAAATTTCTTTTGAAATTCCCAGCCTGCTGCTCCTGTTCTCAGGGGTGCCTGAAGAAACCTGGCTCCCTTACTGGGAGGTGGGGAGGCAGGTGCTCCCGGAGCCCTGGAGGTGGAAGCAGTGCAGAAGCTGTGGGCAGAGCTGGAAGGCTGTCCCCTCCTCCCTGGGATGGTGTCTGAGGGGCCCTGTGTTCACGCCTAGAGAATGCTGCGTGCTTTCTGCACAGGTGGTGGGCTGCTTCTGTGTCTTCTACCCCACGCCCAGTGATGCACTTAATGGTCAAGTTGCCTGGAATTCCTATTTACCACTTTCCATTCATTCATCCATCCAGTCATTTATTCTAGGCATCCTTGCTGTGTGTATTTTACCTGCATGCACTGTCCATTCCGTAATGAATATGCCCCAAACTTCCTGTGGGATCTAGGACCCCCGATCACATCTCTCCCACCTCCTGCAACATCTGGGACCCCTGACCATGTCCCCATCTCACCTCCTGCAGCATCTGGGACCCCTGACCATGTCCTCATCCCACCTCCTGCAACATCTGGGACCCCTGACCATGTCCCCATCCCACCTCCTGGGGGATCTGGAACTTTCGGACCACGCCCAGTTCGTAGTACATCTGGATGCCGCATTTGACCAGCTCAAGCTCTGTGCACTCCAGGTCGGAGAAGTGGAACTCATAGATGTCGAACTTGGTGGGCCCTGGCAGCACTTCTTTCTGTGGGAGAGATTGATGGGCTGAGGGAGGCAGGCCCATCAAATCCCCACTTGTTCCTCATCTCTTCTCCTCCCAGGACCCTCTGTCCAGCCTCAGACGTCCCAGATGTCTGGTGACATCTGCCCTTCCAGTCACCCTGGCCTATAGCCGGGGACACCCACGTCCCTGCTGCCTCAGCCCCCTTCCTCCGCTCTCTTCCCACCCGTGGCCCAACAACTAGCTAGGCAGACATGGTGATGTCGCCAGGGAAACAAACACAAAGATATGCACATAAAAAGATACCCAGGCACACCCAAAGATAGACAAGGACATGTGAATACACAGGTACACAGAAAGATACACAGGCACACACATGACACACACAACACACACACACACGACACAGAGACACAGGCACACATGACATGCAGACACACGACACAGGAACATATGACACACATGGACACAGGCACACATGACACACAGACACAGGCACACGTGACAGACAGGCACACAGACACAGGTACACGTGACACACAAGGACACAGGCACACATGACACACACGGACATAGGCACACATGACACACAGACACACACGGACACATGACACACACATGGACACAGGTACATGGGTATGAAGACAGCAGCAAACGTCACAAGATGACACTGTGTGCTCAAGTGTCCTGGGAATGGAGAAGTCTCCCCTCCCCAGGCCCTTCCAGCCTCCACCTGAGAGGTGGGAGTCAGATTCTGACCAGGATTTTCCCCAGCTCGTCCTCTTCACAGTCAGCAGGCTCCTTCCCCAGGCGTTCTCTTGTTGGCTAGGAGAGAAAACAGATGTGTTATGAGACAGAGTGACAGTGTCACCTTCCCCCCCCGTGTGAGGGACAAGGAGGCAGCATCACCTTCACCCCTCATGTGTGGGACGAGGTGACAGCATCACCTATAGCCTTCATGTGTGGGACAAGGTGACAGTGTCACCTACACCCCTTGTGACTGTGGGACAAGGTGACAGCGTCACCTACACCCTTTGTGACTGTGGGACAAGGTGACAGCATCACCTACACCCCTCGTGACTGTGGGACAAGGTGACAGCATCACCTACACCCTTCATGTGTGGGACAAAGTGACAGTGTCACCTACACCCCTCATGTGTGGGACAAGGTGACAGCAGCATCTACACCCCTTGTGACTGTGGGACAAGGTGACAGCATAACCTACACCCCTCATGTGTGGGACAAGGTGACAGTGTCACCTATACCCCTCGTGACTGTGGGACAAGGTGACAGCATCACCTACACCCCTCATATGTG